GGTGTGGCAGTTCTATTCTATTATGGCTATGAGTAGCCGCCCCTTTTCTGATTCCCGGCAGGAATAGCGCCGTCGTTGTGGAGGCGAATCAGACCTCATCGTCGTTGATGGGGACAGCTTACTTGAGGAGGCGCTGCAGGTTCTGTCTTTCCTTCCCCTTACCATCCATTCTTCTCCTTCGCTCTCCACTCTCAGACGCCGGCCTGTGAATTTAGATTGGTCTTCTCTGCGCAGAGCAAGTCTCAAGCTTGTGAATTTAGATTCTACTTGCCCTGAACCTTACAGGAATTTGGAATGGTGGGATTTTATGAACACGCTGTCATCGATCCTTCCAAGACAGATCAGCTTGAAGACATTAAATTATGTGTCTTTGTCACCAACAGAGTACTCGAATTTATTAAGCTCAGAGAGGAACTTCACAAGAGCACTTCGACGTCTGAGATTCCATAATTCATGGTCACCTGAATCCAGACTACGTCTGCCACAGTTGAGTGGTCTGCCGCAGTTGAGTGGTCCCGATGATGAATTATATGATTTTATTCCAAACAATAATAATAATTAATTTACAGGAGTATGAAAAATGAGTGAATCCATGTTCATTATGATGCGAACACTTATGGGTAGAAGACCAGTAAATAATAACTGGAACAAGTACTTTTTTCAGATGCTGTAATCTGGTGCATTGTGCTACGGAATATCCAGGTTAGAATCTACAGTGATTGCTAGCTGAAAGATGAAGAAGCTGTTAAGTGTTAACTGGAAGAGGAGAATCCAAAGACGGCTATTCTCATTTTTAATTGATTGATTAGCATCTACATAAAAAAGCCATGTTTAACAACACTCTAGTGCTCTAACAAAATAATTTAATGCCCTCAAGAGGGCAACGAATGTTTTAATATTTAGCCAAACATAACAAAGCATTATTATCACAGTAAAGAATCCACAAAATAGGGGTTTAGCAAAAGGTGCCAAGCATAAGCTTAAAACAATTTTCCACAAAACGGGTTAGCAGACCCAAGAAGAAACTGGATGTCGCAATGTCCAGGAATTGCATTCGCACATATGTTTTCAAGCTTTCCAGGCCCCAGGAACTTTGAGGCATCAAGAGGCCTAATCTGTCTTTTTGTTTTTGGGTCTAAGAAGAGGCCTAATCAGTCTTTTAAGACATCCAACTACACACCACAAATATAAAATATTATTATGTCCAATTTTAAATATAAATTTGGGTTGAGGTTTATTTTTATTCCGGAAGTTTTTATTTAGACGCCGTAAGTATCCGAAAGTTTTTTTTAAAGCAATGTTACCTTGAAGGTTTTTTTTAATACACAAAAATTTAGGTGAGTTGAGTCCCGAGGGCTTACCAAGACCAGGACATGCCTCTAGGCTCAGAAAGCGCTTACAGAGTACTTACAGGTCGCCCACCAATAAAATCCTCACATTGACAGCAGAGTTCGAATTCACAATTTTAAAAGCAATGTTGTCTTGGCTGTTACCCAACATTTATTTAAGGTTTATTTAAACTACTTTTTTAAAAGTAATGTTACCTTAAAATTTAACAAAACGTAAGGGGTGTTTGGATGGAAACCAAACTATGGTTTAAAAAGTGATTTTACGGTTTACGAGGTAAATATGTGAAGGAATTTATCTCGATTTGCGGAAAAGTGCTTTTGAGAAGCACTTCTTTGAATATCCAAACACCCCGTAGCAATGTCATCTTGGCTGTTACCCAACATTAATAATCACCATTAATAAAACGTGGCACTCCACATGGCACTCAATATGCCACCTCATTGCCACATGGTTCCTCTACCTCTACATGTCATCTTCACATTTCGTCTTCCCCTTCCTTTCTGCCTTTTTCACTACCTTGTTCATCGCCGACCAGTAAGGGATACCAAAACGAGCAACTGAGACACGAAAGAGCCACATGTTCATCGGCGACTAGCAAATGACACCAACAAAGCTGTCACGTCAGATTGCTTCTCCAAAGAGCCGGTGTAAAGTGTCGCCACGTGCTCCCATATGATATCCAGATTCAATTCGTTCGTTTGCAGTGATTGGAAGAAGACCCTGATACCCATTGCCGAGATGCTTCCCTACTTTGTTCCTTTTCTCCCATTGTTTTCATATCTTCCATCAAGAGGCTCTATCTTCTACCCCTGCTTTGCATTTTTTTGTTCCCTCAAATAATAAATCAATAGAAATTTACTATTTTTTGCAGCACAGGCGAGCACATGCATTACTTTTATTCAATAAGTATTCGGCCTCTTGATTTTCTAATAGATCAGGACTTTTGTTTTCATCTGGTAAGTTTTCAAGGCGTTCCCCAAGTTCATGTTTTTGTTTTCATTTCATGGGTTGGTCAGTTGATGATTAACAATATTAAGTTTATTTGGCTATTCTAGTAGTTATTAGTATTTCCAAGGTCTAATTAGACCATCTAGCGTTTCAAATTTTGAGGGGCTGCGTGGAGTGCTCTTGAATCCTCCATGGCTATTAACAAGTTATCAAGTTTCGATTTTTGATAGAGAGAATGATAGGATAAATTAAAGAAGGAAGGAAAGAAAAGCCTTCCTAGCCTTCAAATTTGGCGATGATGGACGGAGAATTATTGACGGTGGTGGAGAGGGAAGGATTAAGAGAATGGGAGGATAGATGGGATCGTGGGGAGGGCTTATTTTGAGCCATAAACTACTTATTTTAAGTAGAAGGCCGATTGAAAAATCAGATGCTATTCGGGAGGGCTTATGGCTATTGAGGTTGAGGGCATAAGTTGGACCAATCATGCGTTTAAAATTAAACTGTGGGGAAGGGTGAGAGTGTCGCAATGAGTGAGAAAGTTTGTGAGAGAAAGGGTGCGCACAGGGGTCCTTCCACCAACTCTGGAACTTCTCCGGAGGAAGGGAAGGAACTTTCGAAGGAAGAAGATGAGATTCTTGGAAGGAATATCAAGAAAATGGATGAAGATGCTGCCATGGAAGACCGGGAATTAGATCCTAAAGAGCATACGCAGGAGAATGGAAATGACGCCAACATGGATGAAGCGTTTGAACAGGGACTGAGAGGACAATCAACACAGGAGCCCGTAGGTGTGAAGAGGGAGACACGAAGTCAAATATTGTATAGGGAAAAACTCACTGGTCTACAGGAGGAAAGCTTCGACCTAAGACCTGGAAAAAAAATGCAGGAATGGTTGAAGGAAGAAGAGGAATATGCCCCTGTTTTATCTGAAGAACAAAGACTATTATTTGAAAAACTCCTGAAGCTAAACATGCCGAATGAACGTTTAAAAGAGCTTTGCAGACCATGGAAGGATGCGTTAATCCTTAGTCTGCTGGGAAGGAAGACAAACTTAAGCATGATAAAGGATCGGGTTTCTTGCCTACTGAAATCAAGAAATTTCGAAATCATTGATCTGCCGAACAACTATTACGTGTTCAGGTCGCAGGAGAAAGATTTATGCAGAAAACTGTTATTTGATGGCCCATGGGTTATTCAAGGTCACTACTTAGCAGTTCAACAATGGAGTCCGAACTTCAACCCCTACTGCAATAAGGTGAAAAAGCTCGCAGTGTGGATCAGAGTTCCAACCCTCCCTATGCATTGCTACTTTGAAGAATGTATGTTGGAGCTAGGGAATTTAATTGGAAGGGCCTTGAAGGTAGATTTAAATACCTTGGCTCACTGCAACAACAAGAACACGGCAGTGGAGAGGGGGAAGTTCGCACCCGTCAGTGTGGAAATCGACCTCAATAGACAGCTTCAATCAAAATTCGTCCTCAGGAAGATGATATATACGGTTGAGTATGAAGGATTAGACACTATCTGCTTCAGGTGTGGAGTGCATGGGCACAACCAAGAAGCTTGTCCTGTGACGGTGGAAATGAAGGTGATGCCGCCGGAAGAGAACTCGCCGACCGATCAACCCAGTTCAACAAAAGACAAAAAGGTAGAGAGTCAATCCCCAATCAGTGTACCTGGCATCTCGATTGAAGAGATGTACGGAGCTTGGATGCAAGCAAAGAAAACCTTTAGGCAGAAACCAAAGATAGATCAAGGAAAAAAGATTGAACCAGGCAAAAAGCACTCACAAGACCAAGTCATGGGAAACAAGAATACCATGAAAGAGAAGAAATCAGGACCTGGCTCAAGATTTGACATTTTGCAGGATATGGAAGCCTCTGAACCTACGACTGAGAAGAAGGAACCTAGCAAGAAAACAGTACCTGTTACTGAGCGGAGAAAGAAAAGGGAACGTGCTTCTCTCCCTAAGGAGAAGAGCAAGCAGATGAGCAATGGTCAAATGAATGGGCAAGGCACTGCAAAGTCTGACGAACCTAGTGGAAAGAGAGGGGGGAGAGTGACGGAATAGAAGAAGAGAAAGGAAATGCCAGGAACAATGACAGTGATGATTCATCAAGAAGGAGAGATAATGCATGGGAACCGGAGCCTAACCTACAGGAATTTCGGGTTGAAGAATCTAAAGAGGGTAATGAGGGGCTGGGCCCAAATGGCCGATCCACTCCCAGTGAAAAGAAACATATAGGGGGTATTAAGAGAAGCAAAGCTACTAGGCCCAAGATAGTCTCTCCTGTCATGAAAAAGAAGCAAACAAGCCGTGACCTTCAAGTCATTATTGGGTCATTAGTGAAGAAGGGCCCATTAGACTTTGAGAAAGGAAGTCTGAATGGGGGAAATGAAAGGAAGGAACAGGCTAATTTTAACGCTGGAACTATGAGTAATAAACCCACCAATGTAACAACAAATATGAATCATGAGGCCTTGGAAAAACAGATACTAAGTAGTCCGAAAGAACCACTTGACCCCTCGTTAAGTCGAGACATGGCTCAGTTTGAACGTGAAAATCATGAAATCAATGACCAATGGTATGAGACAAATGAAGAGGTGCGGGATGATGCTTTAGGAGAGGATGGTACGCCAGAAATCCTGGGAAGTCAGGGACGGATCTGAGTCACCCCCTCTCTTTTACTTGTTTAATTATGAATTTACTCTCCTGGAATTGCAGAGGTGCAGCCTCAAAATCTTTTCCAGCTAGACTCAGAGATGTGCTTAGAGGAAAACAAGCTAATCTTGTGATCCTGGTGGAAACGAGAGTTAACGGTGTGAAGGCAGATCGTATAATGAAGAAGTTGGGCTTCAACAATTGGATTCGAGTAGAAGCAACAGGCTATGCAGGTGGTATTTGGCTTCTGTGGAATGATGACGAAGTCAATATTCACTATGAATTTTCTACTACCCAACTTCTACACGTCCAAGTATCTATGGTAAATTCAAATCACTCCTTCTGGTTATCCTGCATTTATGCTGAACCGTCTTGTCAATTAAGAATTGCTCTTTGGCATGACCTCACTCAAATTAGTAGCTCTATGTCGGAGCCCTGGCTAGTAATCAGTGACTTTAATGCTTATCTTTCTAATGCCGATAAGAAGGGCAGTGATCACCTTAATGTAACTTCCATGAGACAGTTTAATGATTGCATTCAACAAACCCAATTGATAGAAGTTGACTATGTGGGGGACAGATTTACCTGGGAAAGAGACATACTGAAGGAGAGGATTGATTGGGCTTTCACAAATGATCTTTGGCTTCAGAGATACCCTTTAACCAAGGTCCACCATTTGTGCAAATTCGGTTTGGATCATAGACCTTTGTTCATCAGAAACTCACCAGATAGATGGGAAAGGCAACAAACTCCAGCCTTTAGCTGCCAAGCAGCTTGGTTTCTAGAGGAGGATTTTATCAATGTGGTTGACCAATGCTGGAAAGAGGGAAGTTGGAACGAGAAAATCGCTTTATTTACTCATGAAGCTAGAGAATGGAACAAGAGACGAGTGGGGAATATACCTGCTAAAAAAAATAGCTTGATGAAGAGAATTGAAGAAGTAGACAAGAAGAGGCGACGATGGGACAACCAATATCTTGCTCAGACAGAAAAGTAGCTATGGAAGGAATATAACAAGGCATTGGCCCAGGAAGAACTTCTTTGGTTTCAGAAGTCTAGATGCAATTGGTTAAAGTGGGGGGACAAGAATAGCAAATTCTTTCATTCTTCAGCCATCATACATAGGAGGCGCGACCGTGTTGAAGGTCTTAAGAACTCAAGGGGTGATTGGATCTTTGATCAACAAGAGCTCAAAAGAATGGCCCAGGACTACTATCAAAAGCTATTTCAGAGTAGCTTAACAGGGGCTCCCTCTCTTCATACAAGGCACAGCTTTCCATTACTCTCTGATAGGGATTATCTTCTTTTGTCTGCAGAGGTCAGTGATACAGAAATCAAGGTAGCAGCTTTTGACTTAGGGGCTTTCAAAGCTCCTGGCCCAGACGGTATTCAAGATATTTTCTACCATGAATACTGGCATGTTATTGGACACACCGTTTGCAGTATGGTTCAAGAAATCTTTAATGATCCTTCAAGGGTAGAGGCACTGAATAATACCAACTTAGTGCTAATCCCGAAGAGTGACTATCCTGAAGAGCTCAAAGATTTTCGACCCATCTCGCTTTGCAATGTGAGCTATAAAATTGTCACAAAGATTATCAGTAACCGCCTGGAAACAATCATGGGGAAAGTGGTGGGACACCATCAATGTAGCTTCATCGCTGGAAGACAAAGTAGTGACAACATTATTATTGCCCAAGAGGTTATACACTCAATGAACCTTAAGAAAGGGCAAGTAGGGTGGATGGCAGTTAAAGTAGATCTGGAAAAAGCTTATAATAGGCTTGAGTGGAGTTTTATTGAAGACACCCTTTATGCTGTTGGTGTGAATAGAAAGCTCTGTGAAGTTATAAAGGCTTGCATTACCAGTTCTTCTTTCAGAATTCTGTGGAATGGTCAAGAAACAGATAGCTTTACACCGACGAGAGGAATACGCCAGGGGGACCCAATCTCTCCATATATCTTTACCTTATGTATGGAGAGGTTGAACCACATTATCCTTGATGCTATTGAAGATGGTGATTGGGCTCCGATTAAACTGAGTTCAAGAGGACCTAACATTTCCCACCTGTTCTTTGCTGATGACCTCTTTCTCTTTGGCGAAGCAAGCAACTTTCAAGTTGAAGCTATGATAGGGTGCATAAATGCCTTTTGTGCTGCTTCAGGACAAAATATGAACAAGGCGAAGACGAAGTTGTGTGTCTCCAAAAATGTACACTTCTCCAGAGCCATAGAATTAAGCCAGAAAATGGGAGTCGGGCTTACTGGAGACTTGGGTAAATACTTGGGAGTTCCCTTGATCCATGGGCGAGCCTCTTATATTAACTTTTCCCCCTTGGTGGAAAAAGCTCAGCAAAGACTTTCTGGATGGAAACGCAACTGTCTCAATCTGGATGGAAGAACAGTGCTAGTTAGAGCAATTCTTTCTGCTCTTCCCTCCTACCATATGCAGATACGGCTACTCCCTAAAAGGCTTTTGGGTCAATTGGAGCAGAAAAGCAGGAGTTTCTTATGGGGAGAGAATGAGAAAGAGAGGAAAATGCATCTTGTCTCATGGGATCAAATTCTTCAGGGTAAGAAGGAAGGAGGGCTCGACATTAAGAACTTAAGAAAGCAAAATGAAGCCTACATCATGAAAATTTGTTGGAACCTTCTCAACAAAAAGGAAGCCTTGTGGGTCAAAGTCTTAAGATCAAAATATCGATGTGGGAACTATGCTATGCCAGATGTGAAGAAGCATCAGAATTCTTCTCTTACTTGGAGAGGTATATGTGAAGTTTGGAAGCAATTTAAGGTAGGAGTAGGCAGGAAAATAGGTAATGGATGTTCGACTTCTTTCTGGTTGGATAATTGGTCTGACATCAACTCCCCTCTAATTGACCTTATTACTGGGCTAGAAGCGATGATTGATACAGAGGAGCGTGTGGTTGATTATGTGGAGTCAGGGGGAGATTGGGATAGACAGAAGCTACTTTACTGGTTCCACTCTCATATTGTGGATCGGATCTCTAGTGCGCACCCACCCCGTGAGGAGAGAGTAGAGGATAAATTTACTTGGAAACCGTCCACCGACGGGACCTTTACTATTAAATCTGCCTAATCTTTTATTTCTGCAAGTACTAGCCAGCCAGTGGAAAGCGTTTGGAGACACCTATGGCGATGGAAAATTCCGGAGAAGATCAAAACTTTTCTGTGGCTCTTCTGCCACAATAGAATTCACACGGCGCAACTAAGAGCGAGCAGGGGAATTCAACCAGATGAGAGCTATCCATTTGGGTGCAACCAAGTAGAAAAAGCTATGCACCTTCTTCGTGAGTGTGTCAACGCTAAGGAAAGATAGAAATCTGTAATCAAGCCCTCAATGTGGGAAAGCTTCTTTTCTAAACATGGAGTGGAGTGGGTTACATGGAATCTTACAAAGGAAGCAGAAGCTAATCATACTAAGAAAATTCCTTGGGCTACCCTCTTTGGTTACATTTGTTGGGATATTTGGGTGGATAGGTGTAATCGGCTCTTTGATACAACAAGCACTAATAGTCCAAGCAATGGGATGTCTACCTTTTTTAGAGCTTGCTTGATCAAGACCTACTAGAAAAGTGCCAGTTTTACAACCTCAATGGAATAAATGAAAGGCAAAGCAATAGAGATGTGGGCGGAGAGGTCAGGCTGGAGGTTGATGGATCGGTACTATAGGATGGTAGAAGCGGATGTGGTGGAGTCATAAGAGATGGAGCAGGTAATTGGATCTGTGGATTCAGCTGCAAGCTTACTAATGTTCCACCTGCGATTGCAGAGGTAATTGGCATTATTATGGCCTTAACATGTGCTGCAACAAAAATTACAGAGAAGTCTCACTCCTTTCTGATAGCTTAGAGGCAATCAACCTAGTCACCAGAGGTTGTGATGACCAACACCCTTTTGAGGATGTCATTGATGATGCCCGTATTATTGTTAACCAAAACTGGAAGGTTTTGTTGTACCATGTGTATAGGGAGGAAAACCATTTAGCTGACTATCTAGCTAATCTGTCCCATAGCCTTGATACTTCTTTTAGGATCCTTGATCAACCTGCCCCTTTTTACTAAGAGGCGGAAGGTGACGTAGGAGGTTAAGCTTCTTTGCTTTGTTTTGTATTGACTTGCTGATCTAGCTCTGTATCCAGTTTTTACTAAAAAAAATAAAATTAAACTATGGGAAGGAGCTTATTTGAAGGGTTTATGGACTGTGTGTGTCAGAATTATCATTTTTTTATTTTTCTCTCACTCCTGCCATTATTCCCTCATTATTCACTGTCATTTTTTTTTTACCAGAGCTCATTACCCATGACCCCTTGCCGCTGGATGAGCACTATCGCCTCCTCGCCAAATAATCAAGCGCAAGTCTTCACACACGCGCGCGCGCGCACACGTCTTCATATTCACTCTCCAGTAAAAATTATATTTACAATAATTTTTTTTATTTCTCTAATGCTTTAAATTTAATTTACTCATTAAATTTCACTTCTTCATATTAAATTAATTCAAATTTATTGTATTATGTAAAATCATTTTTTAAAATCATGTTTCATTATTTATTAAAAATCATCTATTTTGATAATTTTACAAATAAACTTATTTTTACTCGATCATAATTCAAACGACCTTTTACTAATCTCATTTTTACAAACTAATTTTTTTAAACTCCAATCCAAACACAATTCTCCTTACCTAATTTAATTTTTACCTAATCTTACTTTTTAAAGTTAGATTAGAAATAAGCTAGTTTTTCCACCGCCAATCCAAACGGACCCTAAGTGTTTGGTCAGTGATGAACAAGTGAAGTAGACGGAAAGAAGATGAAGATGATGAAGTGTGATGGTGAAGTGGAGAGGCCGAGGAATCACGTGGCAATGAGGTGGCATATTGAGTGTCATGTGGGAGTGCCACGCGTCATTAACATTTAATGTCAGAGAACGGCCAAGGTGATATTATTACGTTTTGCTAACTTTCAAGGCAACATTACTACTAAAATTCTTTTATATACCCACAGCTCCCAAGTAAAAACTTCTTCCTATAAAGTGTACTCCTTCTGTTTTCTATTATAAGAGACATTTGATGTTTATGGCATATTCCTATATATAAGAGACACTTAAAAGTTGTCTCTATTTTTGTGTGTTGATTTTCTATTTTACTCATATATATTGTCTCCAATTCACACTCTCTCTCCCTTCCACTTCTCATTCTTTTAATAATTTAATTGTTTTCTCTCATGCTCTCTCTCCTTATTAATGAGGGTATTCTTGAAAAAAATTGTACTTTTTATACATTGATTGTTCTTAACTAATTTTAATTGTTTTTTTTATCAACATAATTCGGTTATTCGTCTATTATAATAAAGAACAGAGGAGTAATTCATACTATAAATTACATTTTATATTTAGGATGAGACCCTCGGTCTTTTTTTATGAGAAACAATTGTCATTTTTACTTTGTCTCTTTTATAAAAAAATTTGCAAGACATCTCAAAATTTCTAGATTAGTTTCTTATTTTACCCTCATTGATTATTTTTTTGGGTTGTCGTATAGAGAGGAAGATGCATAAGATTAGTTGTTAATTCCTTATACTAAAGTTATCAATTCTAGTGGGACAGTTGTGAATGGAAGATTAAAAATTTGAATGCAGGAAATTAATAACTTTAGCATAAGAAATCCGCAATTTATCATTACTAAGTCTTATAAGATTAGTTGTCGATTTTTTTATACTAAAGTTCATAATTTTCTATTGAAAACTATCATATTAGAATTATTTTTTTGGCCAAAATCATATTAGAATTAACAACGAAAGTTTTGCAATTGACAACACTACTATTATATATATATATATATATATATGTTATTTTGTGACCGTGTACTTTTTAAATGAGTCTAGTGGTCTCAAATCCTACCATGGCCAATTGGCCATCAGAAGATTTTAATTAAGAGCATTTTGATAAAAGGACATCAAACCCTTTGCATATTT